CAGAGAAACAAAGACTATGAAGCTTCATATTATTCTGCATTTCAGTATAATGTATTGCTGGGATTTATAGTCCTCTATAGCTGATGGTATTCTGCATTGCTGTATAATGTATTGCTGCGTGTGCTCTCTTCTTTTGGTGCGGTGGCGCCCCTCTTCATCCACCACTGAGGTGAAGCTTGAAATCACTTAATTCAAGTGTCTCTTCCATGACAGATTAGAAGGGGCACAGCTGGGAAAATAGAAGGGGGCATAGAAGCTCTTTAATTTACAAAGCTGAACTAAAGAATAGGAGTATTTGAAGCCTCATCTCTGTGCTGGATCAGAAGGGGCGCCGTTGCGACAAAAGAAGAACATAGCCCAGAAGTGTAGATAGGGGGCAGGGGTGTGTGGATGGAGAACTTCTCCTAGGGGTGGGGGGTGGGGGAAACTCTGAGTCTTTGCCCTGAGTGACAAAATGTCTAGCTTCGTTACCTATTCATTTAGTGAGAACTGTACCCTGTGCGACTGCCATAAGCTCCTCATAGGAATAAATGGGTCTGTGGCATGTATACACAGGATGAAAAGGACCTGGTGTGACATTTCGTGAAGTAAGGCTGTGCAGCTTCCAAAGGAGCTGTACAGCGAAGATTACTGGATTGAGGATGAAGTGGAGTATAAAGACCAGGTGGACTGCACTAAGGAAGTTGCTGCATTCCTTGTACCAAAGGTACAGCTGTACCAGTGGCAGGTCCCAGCACAACTGGCTAGTGAACTGTCCCCAATTCTAGAATGGCTCAAACCTTTGTCCAGTTTTTATTCCCCTTTGGGAGATTTCCTCTCACTTCCTGTCATGAAGACAACATGGCAACAGCAATAACAATTTCACAATCTAACCCTTCTCCCATGTCATCCAATAAAAAGTTTGTGCCTAGAGTTCCAAATTAACAAGGTTCTTCACCCACAGAACTGCCATCCACTGGATGTATTTTGCACCACTCCCAGTTGGTCAGCAGTAGGGATGGGCTTGATATTCGAGTTGAACGTGAGTTCGACTTGAACGTCGGCAGTTCCACGGGGTGCTCGCCCACCGAGCATCCCACAAGGCACTGTGCACCGCAGCCCTGATTGGCTAAAGCCTAGCACCTGACCACAGGTCAGGTGCAAGACTTTGCCCAATCAGGGCCCAGTATTCTGATGTCTCATGATGACTCTCATGATGACTTTGCCCAATCATGGCTCACCTGTTAGATGCTGTACAACTGTAAACAGTTGGGCGGAGCTAGCTGTCACCGCTAGCTCCGCCCAGTTGTTTATATGTTGCCGGCATCTGTCAAAATGCCATTCTGCTGCGTTGTTGTCGTGGACAACGATGGACGTCGTGATAGATTATGGATTACGTCGGCGGATCCATTTTTTTAGGGTTTTTTTGTTACAATAAAAGACTTATCAAAATCATGTCTTTTGTTTTTTTTCAATTGAAGGATTTTTTACAAATGTCTGGCCTCCTTTTTAAAACTTGTTTTTAACCCTTTTGTGAATGGGTAGGGGTACAAGTACCCCTTACTCATTCACATGGGGGAGGATCGCATCTGGGTGCCCCTTTATTAAAGGGGTATCCTGATGTGAATAAGCCCCCTGCCCGCACCTCGACAACCAATGCCCCAGGACTTGGGGAGAAGAGGCCCTTCTCCCCATCGGCACGGGGACAAGGTGCTTTATCAGGGACGACCCTGGAAAAGCACCCTCCCAGTGCCGAGGGCATGTGGGCCCCCCCTTTCCTGCCCTACCAGGCCTGTGCTTGGATCAAGAGCCTGGTACGGAATCTTAGGGGGGACCCCACGTTTTTTCCCCATTTTTGGGGATCCCCATACCATTTTTATTACCAATAAATTGCATATAAGCCTTAAAAATGGGGTCAATTGATTTTCAAAGTTCTAGCCCGTAGACTTGAGCATTGAGTTAGAACTTTTTCCATGTTCTAAAGTTCAAATTTGACCGAACAGGGGGGTGTTCGGCCCA